TGAGGATGCAGGCAGAGATGAATTTTCCCTCTCTGAGTCCCACCCTTATCCCAATTTCCTCCTGCATTGGGAAATGCCTTTCCTGGAATGCTGAGAGTGGTGGGGTTTGGTCCAGAACACTGGACAGGCATGCCATGTGGAAAACTGGATTTAAAAAGGAGATATCTGCACACAGGGCTTGTGAGAATGCAGGCAGAGATAGGTTTTCCTCTCTGAGGCCCACCCTGAAGTGGAACAGGCAGGAAGGTTACAAGCACTGTCCTTGTTCTCTCCTCACCGCAACCACACCTACAGCTGATTTTCTACAGCTTCCAAGCAAAATCTTCCTTTTAATAATTGCACGTGGCTTTATAGTCATGCAGTGATCAGAAATGACAATTCAAAGAAAAATAAAGTCTTTACATATTTTTTCATGTTTCTTTTACCATAACTTTCAGTTAGAACCTCAATCCTCCCTTCCAAAAATGTGTAAATAAAATTGTTGTTGATCTCTGCCTGAGCTTGTGCCGAGTGTTGCCAACACAAGGTGCAGCTTCTTCACCATGGCCATTGTTTCATGTGCTGCACCTCTGATTTGAGCACTGGGCTGGTAAAAAGGAGTTATCAAGAGAAAACAGACAATAAATTGGTTGTGGATGGGTCACAGAAGACATGAAAAGCTTTATTTCAGTAGGTTTTTTCCAGCTGTGGAAGCGTGCAGGAGCCACAAGCACTTCAAAGTTGATTGAAACACCCCCGGTATTTTAATAATCCATATTTGCTTCCTTGATTATTGTTTTATTTAGCTTTTGGAAGTGTACCTAGCAACGGCAATGGTGTTTTAAAAGGTTAAAATGGTTGGGAACAGAAATGAGGAGTGGCCATTGCAGGCTGCCATCTCACTGTGCTGACAATTTCAGCTTTGTCAAACATTTGTCTTACATTAACAGCTAATTATAACCACATGTAAAACTTGACATCATTACCCAGGATTAAGTACCATTGCTTGATCTGATTTATTGTTTAATTCCTTTGGGAGCATTTCAGGGAAAGGTGTTTTAGATAAGAGAACTTTCTAATTTCACTACAAATCCACCATGCCAGCACCGTTAATGGTGGCAACTGCTGTTTCTTGATTTACCTTTTTATAATTCTTTCTGCAGATTCTTAAGAGATCTCTAGGGACAAAATATAATAAGAGAGATTATTTTGGTTAATGGCCAACATTCTAAATTTAGCGTTAATTCACTATTAAACATGGCAACTTCTATCGCTTGGTTGGTATTTCTTGAATTCTTTTTTTGTGTAGACTCATCTATAGGGAAAAAGGATTATAAGTGGTCTTGGAGATTGTTTTGGATTAATACTGAACTTTCTAAATTCACTAATAACCCATTATTAAATATGGCAACTGCTATTAGTTGAAATTGGGTTTAAATTCTTTCTGCAGATTTGTAAGAGATCTATAGAAAAAATTATAATAAATGGGTCTTGGAAATTGTTTTGGTTAACAGTGAACATTCTAAATTCAGTATTAATCCACTATTAAAGATGGCAACTGCTATTAGTTAAAATTGTTTTTAAATTATTTCTGCAGACTAATAAGAGATCTATAGAAAAAATTATAATGAATGGGTCTTGGAAATTGTTTTGGTTAACAGTGAGCATTCTAAATTCAGTATTAATCCACTATTAAAGACGGCAACTGCTATTAGTTGAAATTATTACATTTTTTCTGTAGACCTGTAAGTGATCTATAGGGACAAAATGTAATCAGTGCACATTGGAGGTTGTTTTGGATTAATAGTGAACTTTTAAAATTTACTGTTTAATTTACCATTAAAGGTGGCAAGTGATACTTCTTAATTTATTTTTTTTAATTCTTTCTGTAGACACATAAGAAATTAATAGCAGCTAATATAAGAAATGGATCTTGGAGATTGTTTTGGATTAATAGTAAATGTTCTAAATTCATTATTGATCCATTATAGAAGGTGGCAACTGCTATTTTTTGAATTTTTTTAAAAATTCTTTTCTCTGTAGACTCATAGGAGATCTATAGAAAAAATATAATAAATGTGTCTTGGAGATTGTTTTGGTTAATAGTGAACACTCTAAATCCACTATTAATGGTGGCAACTGCTATTCCTTGATTACTTTCTTTAATTCTTCCTGTAGACTCCTAGGAGATCTATTGGAAAAATTATAATCAGTGGGTTTTGGAGATTGTTTTGGATTAATATTGAATGTTCTAAACACACTATTAATCCACTAGTAAGGGTGGCAACTGCTGTTTCTTGATTTATTTTTTTAATTTTTTCTGTAAACTCATAAGAGATTTATAGGGACAAAGTATAATAAGTGGATCTTGGAGATTGTTTTGTATTAATAGTGAACTCTCTAAATCCACTATTAATGGTGGCAACAGCTATGCTTGATCTGTTTTTTTCTTTTCTTAATTATTTCTGTAGACTTGTAAGAGATATATAGGGATGAAATATAATCAGTGGGTCTCAGTGATTGTTTCGGATTAATTGTGAATGTTCTAAATTCACTATTAATCCACTATTAAAGATGGCAATTGCTATTCCTTGGCTTGTTTTTTTTTATTCTTTTTTCCATAGACTTGTAAGTGATCTACAGGGACAAAACATAATAAATGAGTCTCAGAGATCGCTTTGGATTAATTGTGAACGTTCTAAATTCACTATTAATCCACTATTAGAGGTGGCAACTGCTATTCCTTGGGGTTTGGGTTTTTTAAATTCTTTTTTCTGTAGACTCACAGAAGATCTATAGGGACAAAATCCAATCTGTGGGTCCTGGAGATTGTTTTGGATTAACGGTGAACTTTTAAAATTTACTGTTAACCTACTATTAAAGGTAGTGACTGCTATTCCTTGGTTTGTTTTTATTTTTAATTCTATTTCCTGTAGACTCATAGGCGATCTATAGGAAAAAATATAATTAATGGGTCTTGGAGATTGTTTTGGCTTAGTCATGAACATTCCAAATTCAGTATTAACCTACTATTAAAGGTGGCAACTGCTATTCCTTGGTTTGTTTGTTTTTAAATTCTTTTTTCTGTAGACTCATAGAAGATCTATAGAGACAAAATACAATCTGTGAGTCTTGGAGGTTATTTTGGATTAGTCATGAACATTCCAAATTCAGTATTAAACTACTATTAAATGTGGCAATTGCTATTCCTTTGGTTGTTTTTTTTTTAATTCTTTTTTCTGTAGATTGTAAATTATTTTTTTTCTGTAGATCATTCATGGGCAATCCATAGGAAAGAATATAATAAATGGGTCTTGGAGATTATTTTGGATTAGTTGTAAACATTCTAAATTCAGTATTCCTACTATTAAAGATGGCAACTGCTATTCCTTGGGAATTTTTTTTTAAATTCTTTTTTCTGTAGATCACTCATGGAGGATCCATAGGAAAAAATATTACAAATGGGTCTTGGAGATTGTTATGGTAACACCACAGTGAATGTTCTAAATTCATTATTAACCCACTATTAAAGGTGGCAACTGCTATTCCTTGGTTGGTTCTTTTTTTAAATTCCTTTCTTTGTAGATTCATAGGTGATCCATAGGAAAAAAGATAATAAATGGGTCTTGGAGGTTGTTTTGGATTAGCCATGAATGTTCTAAGTTCAGTATTCCCACTATTAAAGGTGGCAACTGCTATTCCTTGGTTTGATTTTTTTTTCATAATCCTTTTCTCTGTAGACTCATGGGCAACCCATATGAAAAAATATAATAAATGTGTCTTGGAGATTGTTTTGGATTAGTTGTGAACATTCCAAATTCAGCATTACCCCACTATTAAAGGTGGCAACTGCTATTCCTTGGTTTGTTTTTTTTGTTCAATTCTTTTTTCTGTAAACTCATAAGCAATCCATAGGAAAGAATATATAAATGGGTCTTGGAGATTGTTTTGGCAACACCACAGTGAACATTCCAAATTCAGTATTCCCTCTATTAAAGGTGGCAGCCGCTATTCCTTGGTTTGTTTGTTTTTAAATTCTTTTTTCTGTAGACTCACAGAAGAGCTATCATAAAATAGATCTATCAAAAAATATCATAAATGGGTCTTGGAGATTGTTTTGGATTAGTTGTGAACATTCTAAATTCAGTATTTCCATTACTAAAGGTGGCAACTGCTATTCCTTGGTTTAGTTTTCTTTTAAATTCTTTCCTTTGTAGACTCATAGGTGATCCATAGAAAAAAATACAATAAATGGGTCTTGGAGATTGTTTTGGTAACATGGCAGTGAACATTCTAAATTCAGTATTCCCTCTATTAAAGGTGGCAGCTGCTATTCCTTGGTTTGTTTTTTTTAAATTCTTTTTTCTGTAGACTCATAGAAGATCTATGGGGACAAAATACAATCTGTGGGTCTTGGAGCTTGTTTTGGATTAGTCATGAACATTCCAAATTCAGAATTAACCCACTATTTTAAGGGTGGCAACTGCTATTCTGTGGGTTTGGTTTTTTTTTTTAATTCTTTTTTCTGTAAACTCACAAGCAATCCATAGGAAAGAATATATAAATGGGTCTTGGAGATTATTTTGGATTAGTTATGATCATTCCAAATTCAGCATTAACCCACTATTAAAGATGGCAACTGCTATTCCTTGGGTTTTTTAAATTCTTTCTTCTGTATACTCATAGGCTATCCATAGAAAAAAATACAATTAATGGGTTTCGGAGATTGTTTTGGTAACATCAATGTTAGAACGTAAAAGTTTTAAATTCAGCATTAACCCACTATTAAAGGTGGCAACTGCTATTCCTTGTTTTTTTTTTTTTTTTAATTCTTTTTTCTGTAGATTGTAAATTCTTTTTTCTGTAGACTCATGGGCGATCCATGGGGAAAAGTTCCAACCAGTGGATCTTAGGGCTTGTTTTGTAGGGATTGCTGGGTCCAGCCCCATCCCCTAGAGCAGGGCCCATTCCTCCCACTATCCCGTGTCCGTGTGTCTGAGTGTGCCCGTGGTGTCGCGCAGGTGGCTCCGGGGCGCGCTGAGGCTCCACGCGGCGGCTCCGCGGGCCGGCCCTGCGCTCGCCATCGCTCCCTCGTGCATCGGGTGGATCGCCACGAGCCGCAAAGCTGCTGTCCACGTGGACTGGTGCTGACATCTCCCGCCCCGCCGCCGCCAGAGCCTCGCCTGCCAAGCCCAGAGACATGGCCACCAACGGCACCAAAGTGGCGGACGGACAGATCTCCACCGAGGTCGACGCCTCCATCACCAACGACAAGCCCAAAACCTTGGTAGTAAAAGTGCAGAAGAAGAAGACGGACCTTCCAGACCGAGACACTTGGAAAGGGAAATTTGACTTTCTTATGTCCTGTGTAGGTTATGCCATTGGCTTAGGGAATGTGTGGAGATTTCCCTACCTGTGCGGCAAGAATGGTGGAGGTACGTTGGCCGGGTTTGTGGGGTAGGAGTCACCAGCAAATCAGCAGCAAATCAAAACCTGGTTTGGAGAGATTTTTCATACATGTGGTTGGGGATTTTTTGTTGGTTTTTTGTGGGGTTGCAGGATTTTTTTGAGAATTTTTTGGGTTGTTTTTTTTGGTTGGTTAGTTGGTTTGGTTTATTGGGTGAGGTTGAGGTTGGTTTTATTGGCTTTTTTTTGTTCGTTAGCTATGGTGTTTTGGATAGTTTTTTTGAGTTTACTGTTTTGTTTGGTCTTTCAGTTTTTGTTGCTGTTTTGGTTTGGGGTTTTGGGTTTTCTGTTTGATTGTTTGCTGTGGAGTCTTTTTTGGCTTTACTTTGTTTTGTATTTTTTGGGTTTTGTTGGTTTTTTTTGGTTTTTTTATTTTTTGTTTGTTTCTTTGCTGTGAGGGGTTTGGGGGGTTTTGGGGGGATTTTCATTTTTTGGTGTTTTGGAGTTTTGTTGTTGCTTTGGTTTAGTTTTTGGGTTTTTTGTTTTGTTTTGGGGGGGTTTTTTGTTGTTGTTTTGGTTTGGCTTTTGGGTTTTTTGTTTGGTTTTTGATTTTTTGTTTTTTTTGGTTATTTGCTGTGATGTTTTGGGCCTGGGGTTTTTTGTTGTTTTGTTGTTGTTTGATTTTGGTTTGTTTTAGGGGGTTTGCTGTTGTTGTTTTGGCTTGGGTTTTTTGGGTTTTAGTACTTTCCAGTATTCCAGGAGGTTCAGAGCCATTTTGGAGTGTGGAGCTCTGCTTTGAGCTCTGCTCTGAAGTTTATCCTAACTCCGAGCTGTCAGTGGCACTTAAAAGACCATAAAGTATCAGAGCAGAACTAAAGCAGGTTGCCCTCCATCCCACCCTGCAGATCACTCTCTTTTGGGCTGAGTTTTGAGAGGATTTCATGGGTTTTGTAGCTGACTCTGAGCTCTCCATAAAAGGCTGGAAAGCTGCCAGGGCTGGTTAAAGCCTTTGCGCTCTCTGTGAGAGGTGAAGGCAGCAAAGCCCACAGGCTTCTGGATTTCAGCTTTTTACTTCCACAGAAAACATTTAAACGATGGGGAGTTCTCGTTTTCCCTTTATTTTCACCTCTGGAGGTGCTGGTTCAGAAGTGCACGTGTGATTTCCACTAACATTTTTGAAAAGTTACATCTGAGAGGAAAAAATCCCTGTGGGTTTTTTTTCATACGTAACAGGGATGGAAACTGGAAATTCACTTGTGTTTTTCCCCACTGTAACAGGCTTGTTAAAAATTTCTTTTTAGGTGCATTCTTGATTCCCTATTTCCTTACTTTAATTTTTGCTGGAGTGCCACTGTTCCTTTTGGAGTGTTCCCTTGGTCAGTACACATCTATAGGAGGCCTTGGGGTGTGGAAGCTTGCTCCAATGTTCAAAGGTACAGTATGGATCCCAATTCTTTCTCATTTGGTTCCAAACTGCAGAAGTTTCCCAAAGTGCCAGGGCAAGGATGTTTCTTAGTGCCTTTCATTTATATTTAAACCATGATTTTTCTAGAGAAGACACACTGATTTTCTGATGATTTTGAAACATGCTGGGCTATATTTTTTTATTCTCCATTAAAAATAGTGACATTTAGGCATTAGAATTGTAACAAACTTATTTTTGAGCTTCAAAAACTCTTGTGGGTTTCTGTAGAAATGCATGAAGACCGTTAAAAATAGCATATCCAGCAGTAGTTGTCTGAGCAGGATTGGATGTGTTCGCAGCGATTTGGTAAACTTTGGTAAATTTTTCTGAGCTCACAGAGATTGGCATCAACTGGTTTTTAAACTGAAATTCCAAAGCCAGACACTTTTGGCAATTTCATACTGAATTCCTTAAGAAAAACTCACTCCATGCTTTAAGTTTGAGGTTTGATTGGCAGAACCCCAGGGGTTTTAATCTCGATTCTGCACAGACCCACAGACCTCCCAAATGATGATTTTCACCCTTCTAATCCCAAATCCTTTGACACTGCCGAGCTCCTGAGCTGAGTTCTGGCCCAGCAGAGCTGCACGTGGTGTTACAAATTACCTCACCCAGTAGGATTGACAATTAGCACAGGGGGAGCTGAGAGTTTGTTGAGATTGGATTTTGCTCCGGGAGATTTAGCGCTGGCAAAACGCAGGGAGATGGAATTGTCTCTCACAGAGAAGTGGTTTTGCTCGAGTTGCTGCTGTGGGTACAGCCTTGCTTTGAATTATCCTGATTATTGTGAGCACTTCCTCCAGCTCAGGGTCATGGAATAGTTCAGAACACCCCTGGAGTGTCCATGTGGAGCAGAAGACACCCTCGTGGTGGAACCCTGGCACGTCTTTGGTCTGGCTGCCAGCAGGCACTGTGATCGTGTCCTGAGTGCCTTGAACACATTCTCACAGTGTGTGCATCTGCCACCAGCTCCTGCGGGGCTGCTCTGCCAGAGAATGAGCTGATTTAGCTCCTTTTCCTGGGAGTAAAACGTGCCAGGAACTCTCAGCAGGTGGGACTCCACCACTGAAGGCTGGCAGTGAGCTCATGGATGGCTGAGCCATCACCCAAATAATCACCTCTGTGTAGTGGCACTGCTGAAATTCTCACTCCTACAACATTTCCCAGTGGTGCCTGTCTGTCCCATGTGATGTGTTTGCCCTTCACTTGGAAGTTCCCTTGGTTTTATTTCTCTTTGTTTTCCTTGCAGGTGTGGGGCTGGCTGCTGCAGTCCTGTCCTTTTGGCTAAATATCTACTACATTGTGATTATTTCCTGGGCCATATACTACCTGTATAATTCCTTTACCACTGTAAGTGTGTGTCAGAGGGGATGGGGAATTGTTTCTTGGATGTAAAGCCGAGTAAAATATGGATACACCACTAATCTGCCTCAGTGTAGATGTGTGAGGTTAACACAACGCGCACAGAAATCTGTAGGATAATCCATTCTTACTGAAAAAAACCTATTTTGTAAAAATCCCTTTTATTTTTTTTTTCTCCACAAGAAATTTAGAGCAGAAAACTGAGCTTACAGGTCAGTCACTCCCCCAAGAAAAATTTTAGTGTGAAACTAATTATTTTGTTTCTTCAGTAGCAGCCACACAAATATGAGTTCTTTGGGAAATGGTATCATTGCAATGTGGCTTCATGATGGGGGTTTATTAAAGAAACCCCCATGGAATGGAAGGTCTGTGATTTGATTAGCTCTGAACTTCCATTCATTGTTGTTATTTTTGCTTTGTTTTCTTTCCTGTTTACTTTATTTTTAGCTGCCTTTTTTTTTCCCCTCAAGGGTGATTCATCAGCTGAGTAAGTCCTGTCTGATTTGTGGGGTTTGGCCATCTGAGGAAGCATTCTTACATAAGTTGTATATAATTAATGCATCATTGTTCAATTGTCTCTTCTATAAATTTTGCTCATGCTTGCTTGTTCTTGGCTTTAAAGGATTTTGCCTTGACCAAATTTGCATTAATTACTGTCTGGGAGTGACATGACCATTTCTGCTTTGTTGTCCTCAGAATTGGTATTGATGTGAAAGGTCAGGCAGAGTCTGGAAGTGTTTCTTGTGGCCCGTGTTAAATGAATATTGACTTCTAATTCCCTTGAAGCCTCTTCTCCTTGTGTATAAAGCATGCAGTTCTGTGAGAGGATTTCCCAACAATTGCCATCAAAAAGATTATAAATTGTATTTAAATGAGGCTCATTCTAATGGATACCATGAGAAACAGGTTCTGCTCCTCACAGCTTCTGAAAGATGGGATGGACACATGCAGAACATGCACATAACAGATAGATATTTAATCTTTCTCCAATTATCCTCTGACCTGAGGGGAAAATGAAACTCTCTGATCAATAACCATCCCAATTTTGTTATCTCTTCTGCAACAAGAAGTACCAGGAACTCCAGGAGGTCCTTTGTGCTGTTTCACCATACTCTCATGGTGAGTGTATTGAATCCAGAGCATTTGGGCTGCAATTTTAAGGAAAAGAGGGAATATTCCACACCTGCCTCCCACAGCTGATAGGAATTGAAATAACTTTCACCCCGGGGAGATCAATGTCTGCAGAGCTCCAGGTGCTTTAGTTCTGCACTCAGCTGTCAGTTCTAGCAAAGAAAGAGACACCTGAGGTAATCCTTGCTTAAGAAGTGTTTGACCCCAGGTTTTTGGTGCTCTCCCCTCTGCAGACCCTTCCTTGGAAACACTGTGAGAACCCCTGGAACACCGACCGCTGCTTCTCCAACTACACCCTAGCGAACACCACCAACATGACAAGTGCCGTGGTGGAGTTCTGGGAGTAAGCTCAGCATTTCCCTCCCTCCTCCCCGTGCATGCCCAAGGATCACCTTGCTGTCCTTCCTGTTTCACCCTCTGAATTCTTTGCCAAATGTTGTGTTGGCTCCTTGCAGACGCAACATGCACCAAATGACCGACGGCTTGGAAAAGCCTGGGCAAATCCGATGGCCACTGGCAATCACCCTGGCAATTGCCTGGATCCTGGTGTATTTTTGTATCTGGAAGGGGGTAGGCTGGACTGGAAAGGTAAGATTAAAAAGTACTGTTAATATCTTTCAATTAAAAATGCCCATTTTGGTCAAATATTCTGAAAGTTCTTGAGGTAAGAGGCGCCGGGGGCAGTTTGGCTGTCAGAGCTCTGTGAAGGATTTAATTTGTGTTTTCTTGGACTGATGCAGCCCCATGTTTTAGGAAGAGCTGGCTCCTCTCTAGCTAGGTCAGACCACAGCCTTAGATGCTTCACTTATACCTCTTGGCTTGGCCAGATATAAAATCACCTAAAAACATTCTTGCTTCTTCCTGGGATGAATATTGCAGCTGGTTTGGATAGCACCAGAATGGGGATGAAATGGTTTGGTTCTAGAAAGAATTTTGCAATAAATGCAAAATAAATGCAAAATTCTTGCTGGAACCAAACCACTTCATCCTCACTCTATTGCTATCCAAACCAGCTGGAATATTCAGAAGAACTACTGCAATAAATGCAAAATTCTTGCTGGACCTGGATATGTAAGGAAGTGTTGGGAAGAGCTGCTCCCACCTTCCCTCATGTGAGTGAGAAACATTTGAGGTCCTCTCACAGGATTTCACCCTGTGCTTCTTGGGGTCTGCCTGGCTGTGAGTGGAAATTAGGATTTACAAATCAATTAAAGGAAATTATATTCTTGAGAGACCTTTCTGAGTGAAAGGGCAGCAACATCTGCTAATGGTTGATGCCTTACCCTGTCGGAAGAAATCACAGGGAAATGAAAAGCCACAGCAATGGGGCTTGGTGTTGGGTTAGAAGAGCTGAGGTCTGGTGCAGAGGGCTGGGATTTCTTCACTCTGAGGGAACAGATTGTTGGTTTTTGACAAGTGGTTTTAACTGTGACCCACCTTGAACTGTGTGTTGGACAGGGCTGAGCTGAGCTCAGAGCAAATAATTTTCTTTCTCTTGTCTCCAAACACAAAGAGGCCAAAAAGAGGGAAAAAAGAGGGCTGAGTCTGACTTCAGAAAGGGTTTCTTACAGGATCTTTAAAAAGGCAAGAAAGTAGGAAGCCTGTAATATAGAGGAGGAGAGAGTGGGAAAAATGAGCTGCCAGATGTGTTACAAGCAGGATCCTGGTGTCATGATCCTTGTGCTTTTGGGACTTCCTTGTGTTAAATACCAAAAAAAGTGTGAAAACATCCTAGTCCACACTGTTCTCTTTTCAGAAAAATAGGTAACAGCCACCTGCCTTTAGAGCTGGAGTTAAGGGGATTTTCATGTAGGCACTTCCCAAACCTTTTCATTGAAAAATGCCTCAATTTGATTATTCTTCCTTGCACACTTAACACTGTCTTGTTTCTTCACATCAGGTGGTGTATTTCTCTGCTACTTATCCCTATGTTATGCTGCTTATCTTGTTCTTCCGTGGTGTAACACTGCCTGGAGCAAAGGAAGGCATTTTATTCTATATCACTCCCAACTTCAGCAAGCTTTCAGACTCTGAGGTAAATATTGCATGCTGGTAAACCAAAGTTTCACTCCTCACTGCTCCCCTTTCAGCCATATGAGCTGCTCCTCAAGAGATGAAACAGATTTTTAAAAAAAAATTGTTTCCTGCCATCAGGTTTGGCTGGATGCTGCCACACAGATTTTCTTCTCCTACGGTTTGGGCCTTGGTTCACTGATTGCCCTTGGAAGTTACAACCCTTTCCACAATAATGTTTACAGGTAAGCAGATGACTGCACATATTGCAGTGCCACTTGCCTGTCTCAGCTGGAGCTGGCTTCTGTCTCTGTGCACAGATAATTGAAATAAAGTTTAGTGTTGGATATTAAATGTTCTGTCTGGCTGGGGGTGAGATGTGTGACTGCCTTTACACCAAGGGGAGAGACTTCCCCAGCATGGGATGGAGCCCAGACTGGGAAATCCTAAACTGTGAAATCTTAAATCATTGAGATCTTTCCACAGGACAAAAATAAATAAACAAAACAACCCAAAAAGAATGAACATTTGCTTTCCCTGCTGCTTAAAGCCCCTTCCCTTTGTTTCAGGGACTCCATCATAGTGTGCTGCATAAACTCGTGCACGAGCATGTTTGCTGGCTTTGTCATCTTCTCCATTGTGGGATTCATGGCCAATGTCACAAAGAGGCCAATTGCAGATGTGGCAGCATCAGGTACCCAAAATATTTTCCTCTAAGCTGTGCATCAAGGTTTGTTTTTTTTTTTGCTTGTAGGTTGTTCCTGCAGCTGTTTAAAATCCCTGCCCACAGCTCCTCAGCTCCCTGTCCCCTCAGTCTCCCAGGAGGAAAAGTGTTGTCCCAACCCACTCCAGGCAGAGAAGGAGGAATGCTGGTCATTATGGGGTGGTTTTTAAACTAATATTTCCCAGTCCAGCTGGGTTTTAACTCCTTTTCCCATTTCTTGAGGTTAAGCCCTTGGAGGCAGATCCATTTCTCCCCTGTTCACACCTACACCTGTTTCCTGTGGCTCTGTATCATGACAGACATTTTATTTAGGGCAGGGAGCTGTGGAGCTGTCCATGGGAGGATTCTGTTTTTCCTTGTGTGTCTTCCAGCTGAAAAAGCTCAAAAAGCAGCAGAGCAGATGGCTGCCCTGCCCCAGCTGGTGCACCAGATACTCACTTAGCAGTTCTGGCCACAGGGAGGGATCTCATAACTCAAAGCTTGGCTGCAACTCGCTGGTGGACAAAATCTGGATGACTGTATTAGCAAACACAACCCGCTGGAATATTCTCCTTGGTGAGAAAAGGAGAGAATTTAAGCGCTGAAAATAATCTTCAATAAATTACACATACAAAGAGATTAGGTGCAAAGTGATGATGGCAGGCACTGTTATTAGAAGCTGCTCTGGAAAGGCAGTGGTGTGTGAAATAAGCTTTTTGGATTTATTTCTTTGATACAGAAGGAGTTATGTAAAGGCTGCACCTGCAAACAGCACAATATTTTTACATCATATTAAGTACATTTGATAACAGATCTCTGAAAGATGCCCATGGCCACTAATAGCAAAGGATATTTAAAAATTTGACCTTTAATTAAGGCTTTTATTTCTCCTAGTAAGCTCAGAGGCTGGTGCCAGATTTTACCACCATAAGAGGTTGTTTTGCCATCTTTTATACAGCCTTATAAAACAAATGATATTATTAAAAGGAGTAGCTGCATTTCTGTGTAATGCCAAACAGAGTAAAATTAACATATTTATCTGAAGTTTATTTTGCTTTTAGCACTGCTATTTGGAATGTTTTCTGAACTGCTTTCCAGTCATATCTGCTCTTGTTAGCAATTAATTGCTTCAAAATCCTCATTAGACTTTGACAATCCAGGTGTTGATGGCACCCTTGCTCCACTGGTTTGGGGGCTGGGACCAAGCACTTGTCACTGACAGACTTTTAATGGAAACTGAAAAATCAGAGGCACTCCTTAGGTGAAACACACGAGCTTTATTTCTGTGACTTTATAAATTTATAATTTATTATATGTGTATATATATCTATAATATAATAAATATATTAAATATCATATTGATTAATAGATAAATATAAATAGATATTATATAATAAATATATATCTATTATATAATAAATATATTCAATATTATATTAATTAATAGTTAAATATTAATACATGTTATATAATAAATACATATTTATTGTAACTTATTATATTTATAATATATTCTTTGTATTAATAAATTTATTTATTAAATTTGCTGGTTTTCCCTCTGAAGCTGAACTCCAGGTATGCCATGAGAACAAAAAATCCCCTTTTAAATAGGGTTTGAAAATAGGGGATTTTAATAGGAGTTTAACACTCCGCCCTCCATCTGCAGTTAGGAAGAAGAAGAATTAAGAAGTTTGGTCATCCACAATGACAGAGTTTATTCAAAGGAGTATTTAGAGGGAGGGAGTGGAATGGAATAGCAGATGGAAATGCTGGGAAGTGTCTTCTCCATTGCTGAGCTCTGTTTCTTTTCTGAGTGGTGCAAAGCAGGAGCAGCTGCTGAACCCATCCAGTGTTCTGCTGGTTGGCTTTGAGGGGCTTTGGAGTGTATTTATTATTTTATTTTTGTTCTGGCTGGTTCATTTTCAAAGCCAGGTGTTTGCAGTGCCCTGGTGGTCAGGGAGCAGTGAGCACTGAAATCCCTGCTCAGGGGCTGCATCCAGAGCCCAGCAGGAGAGAGGAGCCCAACCCCAGCCCCTGACGATGATGTTGTGTCTCCTGTCTCTCCCCAGGCCCGGGACTGGCGTTTCTGGCTTACCCAGAGGCAGTGACACAGCTGCCCATCTCCCCTCTGTGGGCAATCCTCTTCTTCTCCATGCTGCTCATGCTGGGCATTGACAGTCAGGTAAAACTGGGGTGAAAATCAATAAAAATACAGATTTTCTGCCACTGGGTGGAACCAGGTTTGATGTTTTATTTGTATTTTATTTATTTCTATTAGGAGTATTTATTTTATAATTTGGGATTTATTTAGGATTATTTATTTTATAATTTGGATTTATTTAATAATCTAGGATTATTTATTTTATAATTTAGGATTTATTTAATACTTTGGGATTATTTCTTTTATATTAGGATTATTTTATAGTAGGATTTTTTTATATATTTAGCTTTTGTATTTTTCATACATTTGTAATCCTGCAGTTCTTCAGTGTATATTAAGATTATTTATTTTATAATTTAGGATTTATTTAATAATTAGGATTATTTATTTAATAATTTAGGATTATTTCTTTTATAATTTCAAAATCATCATTTTATAATTTAGAATTTATTTAATAAATTAGGATTATTTCTTTTATATTAGGATTATTTTATAGTAGGATTTTTTTATATATTTAGCTTTTGTATTTTTCATACATTTGTAATCCTGCAGTTCTTCAGTGTATATAAAGATTATTTATTTTATAAATTAGTATTTATTTAATAATTTAGGATTTATTTAATAATTTAGGATTATTTATTTTATATTTTATATATAAATATATATATATAGTTTAGAATTCATTATTTTATTATTTAGAGTATATTTATTAAATTAGGATTATTTCTTTTATATTAGGATTGCTTTATATTATGATTTTTTCATAGATTTAGTTTTTGTATTTTTCATATATTTGTAATCCTGCAGCTCTTCGTTGTACATAAAGATTATTTACTTTATAATTTAGGATTTATTTAATAAATTAGGATTATTTCTTTTATATTAGGTTTATTTTATAGTAGGATTTTTTAATAAATTCTTATAGCTTTTGTATTTTTCATATATTTGTAGTCCTGCAGTTCTTCAGTGTATAACTCTAAACTCAGAGTGTCAGCTGGAAGTGGGGCAGGATGGTCCCTGGAATAATCAAATAAAGTATAGGAGGCACTCAGGAAAGTCTGAGTAAAAAAAAATGATGCTTGAACACCTCTGCTCTTCCATGAACTGTTGGAAGCACATGAAAAATGGGCAGAAAATTTATTCTGCAGGCAAAAAAGAGTTTATCATTGAAATATTCCCTGTTAAATCACAATGTTAAAAATACCTGTGCAATGCTCAGCTGTGTAGGAGACACTGGGATATGTTTTACAAGATTTGGATGCCACAGGTATTTCTTACCAGCAACTCAAGAACTCACCACTGGAGCAAAAATACACAGCACACATTTCATTTTAAGATCTGGAGTTAATTCAGAGGGCAGTGGGATAGTTACTGAGGATATTCTGAGTTTTGATGTGCTCTGAAATCACTTCCCAAGGGGAAGGATCACCAATTTATTGGTTCCGGCTGTACCAAAGCTCAGGCTGATATCTAACAACTGGAAATGAAGGAGGATGCCCAGCCCTGAGCTTTGCAAATCCAAGATATCCTCTGTCTAGATCAAACTATTAAATAATTAACATATGGAATCATTAGAAATGTTGATTATGACACAAATAAAAAAAGCACAGAGCATGAGAGAAAACTCTTTAGAAATAACTATATCCAACAAAACCTTTTGTAAATCAGTGCTAATTTTAATGCAGAGAACAGCCCCAGTGGCAGCACTCAGGAGAGCACCCTGCCTTATTTCACCCTGCCTTATTTCACAAGGAATATTTGGAGGATTTGGTCAGGGAAGTCCCCCCTGGCTGCTGAACTCCTGGATCATTTTCAGGAGCCCAGTCTGGGCAGATGTGTTAATTTATTTGCAATCAGCTGCAGTTGGCAAAGCAGCAGCTCCCAGTCCCCAGCACAGCCCTCCCAGCATGTAAAGGAATGTGGATTTACTGCCTTAGCACTGGACCTGTCTTCCAGGAGTGAAAATCCATCATTTTCTACAAATCCAAGCTGCCTTCAGCCTGTGAACACAAAAAGACCAAGGAGGGTATTTTATCCTGGGAGATGAAAGGAAGTTGAAAATTTACACTTTTGATTTCTTTGTTTTTCAGTGAGCTTCAGGCTTGACATTAAAACCCACTGCTCATTCTGGAGGGGGGAAACTGCTGTGAAAAATTGGGTCAGAAATATTCTTGAAAGCATTTGTCTCTAGGCAACTAACAGCTGAGGAAGGTGGTCTAATATTATTAAAAGGAATATGTATCTACAGGCTGTCATGCTCTCTGCATTTTCTGTCTGTCACTGAAACATTTCATCCACTCTAATTTACAGGAGCTGTAACCATTGGTTGAATTCTATTTGCTCGGCTGAAAATTAATAAAACTTTACTCATCTTCTGCTTTTCATATTTCAGCCACCATAATGATAACATTTATCTGAATATATACACAAAAAAAGATTGTGGAGTGTGGCCATTTGGAGGACACAGCCTCAACAAAAAATGCTTTCTGGGAATACAGAGAATATTTTATTTATCACATATGAGAATCATATGAGAATCTTTAACCTTCTGTGTGAAGCACCAATCTGGTTAGACTTTCACTGTGTGTTGGCTTTCTTTTGTATTACACAAAAAAGAAGTTTATTTTGTAAATCACATAAAAAAGAAGTTTATTTTGTAGGATTGAGGCACCAAAGCCCTCAACTGTATTTTTATCATCTTTATTACAAAAAAAGAGCAGTTTCTGTTCACAGAGTGAAAACAACAGTTCATAGCTCGGGATTTTGAGTGTTCCTCGAGCTGGAAATCTTCTTGGACAGATCATATTTCAGCCACCATAATGATAACATTTATCTGAATATATACACACAGAGGGACTCTGGAGTGTGGCCATTTGGAGGACACAGCCTCAACAAAAAATGTTTTCTGGGAATACAGAGAATATTTGATTTAATACATATGAGAATCTTTAACCTTCTGTGTGAAGCACCAATCTGGTTAGATTTTCTCTGTGTGTTGGCTGTCCTGTATCACATAAAAAAGAACTTTTTTATGTGATTTACAAAATAAACAAGTTTATTTTGTGGGATTGAGGGATGAAAGCCCTCAACTTAAGGTTTATCAACTTTATTACAAAAAACGAGCAGTTCCTGTTCACAGAGCGAAAGCAACAGTTCATAGCTCAGAATTTTGAGTGCTCCTCGAGCTGGAAATCTTTTTGCACAGATCTCTTTGGACAGAGCCAAGGATATTCAGGAGCAGAGCTTTCGCTGCAGTCAAGTGAATTTTCCCTTCTCGCTGGACTGCTGCAGCCTCAGGCCAGCCAAGGGTCCAATCACAAACTGCTCCCCAAAACTCCACGCTGGGCTCTGCAGTGTTTTTAATGTCCAGCTGGGCTCTGCAGTGTGTTTTGTGTCCCTTTCCCTGCAGTTCTGCACCGTGGAAGGGTTCATCACTGCCCTGGTGGACGAGTTCCCCAAGCTGCTGCGCAACCGCCGCGAGCTGTTCATTGCCGTGGTGTGCATCGTGTCCTACGTGATAGGGCTGTCCAACATCACTCAGGTACTGCTCCCTGGGGCTGCCTCTGCCCTGCTCCACCATTCTCCTTCCCCAGCCCAGCCAGGAATCTCCGCCAGCCCCCGGATTGTCAGGGATTGGCGCTCTCCAAGGTTTGGGCGGTTAAAGTGTAGAACGCACTTTAGATTTTAGCTTTGATATTTTTATTTGTATTTATGATTTATATTAATATAATTTATTTTATATTAGGATTGTTTTGTTTTTATATATTTAGCTTTTGTATCTTTTATATACTTGTACTCCTGCCGTTCTTTAATGTAAACGCCAAACTCCACACCCAGTGTCAGCTGCAGTTTGCCTGGAGATATTGCTCACATAAACTCAAAGTCATGCATCCCTCAGGTGGGATGCTCTGCCCCCCCACTGCTCTGTGGGGCTGCCTCTGCCCTGCTCCACCATTCTCCTTCCCCAGCCCAGCCAGAAATCCCTGCCAGCCCCTGGACTGTCCGGGATTGGCACTCGCCAAAGTTTGGGCGGTTTAAGCGTAGAACGCCCTTAAGATTCTAGCTTTGATATTTTAATTTGTATTTATCACTTACATTAATATAATTTCTTTTATATTAGGATTGGGTTTTTTTAATATATTTAGCTATTTTATTTTTTATATATTTATACTCCTGCTGTTCTTTAGTGTAAACTCCAAACTCCACACCCAGTGTCAGCTGCAGCTTGCCTGTCGATGTTGCTCACATAAACTCAAAGTGGTGTTGGCTGAGCAGCCACTCTCAGGAGCTGCATGAAGTGGCAGTGCCTGATTTTATCCAGCTCTGTGTGCTCCTGCTTGCTGGGACTGCCTCACACAGAAATCACATGTGTGGGAGGGGAAAAACCACAGCACAAATCCCCCTTGTAGCTGATATTTACTGCAAATCAAGCAGCAACTTCCTGAGTGTCAGTGGGAATGATGTCTTAGCATTTTAGCTTGTATATATTTAATTTATTGGTACTCCTGCAGCTCTTTAGTGTGTAACTCCAAACCCCACACCCAGTGTCAGCTGCAGCTTTCCCATTTTGGGCACACACAACAATTCCTCTCCAGGCCTGGCAATCAAGGACACCTCACTGCCTCAGGGCCCAGAGATGGGAACAAAAGGGACTTGGGGGGAGCAAACTTGGGCTCAATGACTTCATTACCTGCAGCTGGGATTGGCAGATTAACCCCCAATGTGCAAATGGAACAAACTTATAAAAGTATAAAAACCCCTGACCCATGGTCCATTTTGGGTGTAGGCTGTGAGGGGCTTTGTCTGCCCTAAATGTACCTGCAGGCCCTTCAATAAATAGAACTGCTTTTTATTCCCTTAATTCTGGCTGGCCTCTGGTTTTAGGTAGTCCCAAAAAGGCCCTACCTGGGTGTCCCCTGCAGGGCTCAGGGTACAGCAAAATGCACATCCCCACATTCCTACAGTCCAAAAAGTGGCAGCTGGAGATGTTGACTTTGCAAACTGCTTGAGGGAAATTATTAATGATTAAATTATGATTAAATTACCAAATAAACAGCAAACAGCAAAATTAAACGTTTCAGTTTTAACAGCAGCACTCTTAATTTTGTCAGGATGGACCTCAAGCCTTAAAAAAACTTACCCTGTTTAATTCACACTAATAGGCCCCTAACCTACCCACTGCTGCTAGTTTGTCTGTTACATTTTGAAGCTGGAGCCTTGCTCTATTTTTCATACTTTTTTTTTTCCGTTTCAGGGTGGAATTTACGTGTTTAAGCTTTTTGACTACTACTCTGCCAGTGGAATGAGTCTCTTGTTCCTTGTATTCTTTGAGTGCATCTCAATATCCTGGTGCTATGGTAAACAGCCTGTTTGTGTTTTTCCCTGAGCTTTACACACCCTGAGGATAATTCATCCTCTGATCCGTGGTTGATGTGCATGTGCTGGGGGTGGAACTGAAACTGGCTTTGGTTTCTGTGGATATAATTCAAAGTTTGCTTGTGGAAGGTGCTGCTGCCTTTTAAACACCCAGCCTAGAGGCCTGGGAGCCATGAAGAGTTTCAGGAATATTAAAAGGGTGATATTCCATCTCTTTTCCTGTTCCAGTCCCTTGGGAAGCCTGGATCTTCAGAGGTTTTGGATACATATTGCCTCAGGACCCTTGGGATTTGAAATATTTCATTTTTCCAGAAATTCTCTTACTCCAGGTTCCTGCAGTGAGCCAGGCTCTTTGGTCAGTTAGGGAATAATCACCTTAAATATCCACAACCTGAACCCAGCAAATGGAAAAATACATCAAAACTCTCCCAGAAATCACAGAATATCCTGAGCTGGAAGGGACCCCACAAGGAGATTAAGTGGATGGTCCACACAGGGCTTGGAATTGTCAGCTCCAGGCTCTGGCCATGAAGAAATCAGAGCCATGAATTGGTGACAGACACAGCTTTGGGAGAGCAGCAGCAGCAGGATGTTGCTCACATTAATTCAGAGTTAATGTGAAATTAATCAGGGGCCCTCTGATTTCAGCTCCACTTCTGCCCATCCATGGTGGGCACTGCAACAGAGCTGGTCAATGCTGGGATGGGTTTGGGTGGTTATAATTGTAAAATACATCCTAAATTTCTCATCCTAATATAATCTAGAGTTGGAATCAATCAAGGGCATTTCTTGCATCTGACCTTCTCATGTGCAACTTCCTCATTTGTCATGGGAATAAGTTTGCTAGTCACTATTTAATAAATTATGATGTGGAAGAGTGAGAACAGGTGATTTTTGGTGCTTTTGAGCTTGCACACTTTTTGCCTTGAGGAAAAGTTGAGATCTTTGTAGAGCTTCCAAATATAATCATAGTTTATGACTGTATCTCTCAGAACCACTGATCTTCCCATCAACTCCACTACCTGACATGTTTCTTTGCTGTTTCTTATTTCTTCACCCAGGTGTTAATAGATTTTATGACAACATCCAAGAGATGGTGGGATACAGACCCTGCATCTGGTGGAAACTCTGCTGGTCCTTTTTCACTCCTATCATTGTGGCAGTAAGGAACAAACTTTTATTCTCTGCTTGAAAGGATGTGAATGAGTGGCCTGGGTGCTGCAGCCTTGTGGTTTCCAGCCCCACAGGTTCATATTAGTTCTGCCCTCACTCATTTTTTAAGGATTTGAGCAATCCCATTGAAGGCAATAGGGGAAAAGCAGTGACATTCCAGGAAGATTGTGCCCCAAAAGGAGAAGCCAAGATTTTTATTAGACCTCTGGAAATGCTCAAGAGGTTGATTGGCAGAGTTAGAAAACTGTAAGGAACAAATTTTGACCTTTTTTTTTTTTTTTGGTGTTCTAAAATAGAAATTAGCAATCTAAAATCTAAATTTTCCACATACACAAAAATGTCAACATTCTGTAAACTGAATTCCTCCACGAGCCCTTCTAGTGACAGAGCAGGGTTCTAAACTCATGTTCTTCCCTCATGGCCTTCTGTGGTATGTATTCATCATTTTCTACTACATTGCCGTGGGTTTTCTGGCAAACTCTGCAAGGAATCTGTACTGGAAACCACAGAACAGCTTCTTCCTGATTCAGAACTTTACCCAGTTAATCCCATTCAGTACTTTGTGAAGTAGTAAGCAAAGAAATGTAAATGCACTGCACATACACTGAACCCAGATGCAATGTAACAAACTATTACACATGAGCCAGCATTTAACCAGAGAAAGCAAATGAGGAGCACTAAAAAGACACAGAAATGTGTTCATGTTGAGGGTTCCTCGAGTCTTCCCTTCCCAGATCAAGGCAGATTTCATTTTTGTGAAAAACAAGCATTCAGGAATGCATAAGAGATTTTATTTTAGTGGCACAGGAGGAAGGTGCCCAACTGGTCAGATTTGCCAAGTCCTCAGCAGAATGTGCTGCCCAGCCCAGCTCAGAGCAGGGATAAGAATCTGCCTCTGGGAATTTGCAGAGCAGGGATGAGAATCTGCCCTCTGTCCTGCATGAGGGCTCAGCCTGGATCAGAACGAGCCTCCCTCTCTCCTGATTCACTTCAGCAGGTTTTCCTGGCTGCTTTAGCCATTTGAGACAGGCCAGCACAGGAGATTTTCCTGGGAATAGCCCATGGAATTCTGTGTCTGCAGGGCATCATTGGAGAACAGCCCAAAAGCAACGTGGGTGCTGCTGCTGAAGGGCACAATGGGGACATGTACATGGCGCCATTGAGCAGCAGCACCCACATTGCTTTTGGGTTCCAGGTATTCCCAGGATCCCTACTGGGTTGCTCTTGAGTTCCAGGTATTCCCAGGATTCCTATTGGGTTGCTTTTGGGTTCCAGGTATTCCCAGGATCCCTATTTTCCCCAGCAGCCCCTTTCCCTCTGGCTCTGTGCAGGTTATCCCAGGAATTTACTGCTCCCAGCAGCACACCTGGATTGTCCGAGGTGCAGGTTCATATGTGAAAACACAGCTCTGAGGTGAAACATTCATTTTGGCAAAAAGCATCTTGGGAAGCTACAGAAAAACTCTTGAAGCCAGAACACTGTGGGAACCTGACCCCAAACCCTCCCTTCTGCTTTTGCAGGGAGTGTTCATCTTCAGTGCTGTGCAGATGACCCCGCTGACCATGGGCAGCTACGTGTTCCCAAAATGGGGCCAGGGGGTGGGCTGGTTCATGGCCCTGTCCTCTATGGTGCTGATTCCTGGCTACATGGCATACATGTTCCTCACCCTGAAAGGATCCCTAAAACAGGTAAGTCTGCCTGTCCCAACCCCCTTGGTGTGGTGTTTGTGGGGTGCCCAGGTGAAGGAAGGAATGATGAATCTGACTCCATGTTCTTAGAAGGATAATTTATTAATTTATTAATATTTTATTAATATACTATATTATATATTACTATACTAATTTATTATGTTATATTACATTTATATTATACTATAATGTATTATATTAATTTTATTAATATCTTATTAAGGTACTATATTATATATTAAGATACTATTTAAAGATTTATATTATATTATATTATATTATATTATATTATATTATATTATATTAATACAGAAAGGATACTTACAGAATGCTAAAAAGATAATAATGAAAACTCATGACTCCTTCCAGAGCCTTGACACAGCTTGGCCCTGATTAGCCATTAAGTCAAAACAATTCACATGAAACCAATGAAACAATCACCTGTGGGTAAACAATCTCCAAACACATTCCACATGAGCACAACACAGGAGAAGCAAATGAGATAAGAATTGTTTTCCTTTTTCTCTGAGGCTTCTCAGCTTCCCAGGACAAAAATCCTGGGCCAAGGGATTTTTCAGAAAAGGTGACTGCCACATATTTCACATATGAGCACAACACAGGAGAAGCAAATGAGATAAGAATTGTTTTTCTTTTTTCTCTGAGGCTTCTCAGCTTCTGAGGGATTTTTCAGAAAATATGACCGCCACACCTTGGCACCTGTGCAATCAAAGATTGCTGGGCATTTCTTTCCTGTCATGTATTTCCCCCTCAGTTATTTTGCTTTGAGCTAAAAAAAAAACCCCTAAACATAAAAGTGCCAGCCAAATAGGAGAGAGTGTCTGAGCCATCTGTTGCTGTTCCCCACGTTCCACAGGCTCCTTATCTCTGCTCTGGCAGCTGCAGACACTTGGCATTCCCGCTCCTCACACCTAGAAACCAGAGGAGAGGTTGGCAAATTATGGAAATTTGTCCTGATTAATGCCAGACATGCAGCCGTGGATCGTGGCAGGGGATGCTCTGGGGAGCTGGAATCAGAATCAGGGGCTGAGCTCCAGAACTCTGGGATTGCAGAGTCTGCTCAGTGACCCTGCTCTGCACGCCCCTGATGGCCCCCAAGGCTGCAGCTCCTGCATTTCACCTGCCCTGCTCTGCTGCAGCTGGGAGGGAGGACATGGAACACCTTGGGAAAACTTCCCTTGAGCCTTTATTTAATGGGCTTCTGTGAGCAGTCACTTTGTAATGAACATTAGGGGCTTTTTTCTCTTTGCTCTCAGCCTCCCTGACTGCTCATACCATTTTTTAAAGGAGGCAACACTTTTCATGGAAGACAGTCAGTTTTTGGGGTTTTTTTGAAGTCAGTTTTTATTTCACTCAGTTTCTATTTCACTCAGTTCTGAGGTCCTCAGAAATGTGCTGCTAAAGAGGTGGCAAATATTGACCCCAATATTGCCCCACACACAATTCAGGAACCCCCCACAACCACCACACCTCGTTTTTTTCAGTCTGGGTGGATCCTCAGTTTTCCCTCTCCAGCTCCTCCTGTACATCACAGCCAGATCTCCAGTCCAAGATTTTTGTGGCAACCAAAGACTGTCAAAAGGAATTTGTCAGAACTTCTGGAATATTCTAAAATCAGCTGACAGAGCCATCTTTGCAAAGGGCTGGATGATCTTAAGCAGAATTGACGAGTGATGCCTCATGAAATGCTCAGATCTTGATCCAAATATTTGTCTTCAGCAAATTTTGAAGGACTCAGTGAGGCTTTAAAGAAGTCTGCATAAAAAAATCTGGGTTTTGATTTTTTTGTGTTTCCCTCCCTGCCTGTTCTTAGCTCCTACATTTTGAATAGATCTCCCTTGGTCTTATGGAAACTTTTAGGTGCAAAAGGAGAACTGTTTCCCTAAAATACAGCTGCTCTTTGGGCAGGGTTGTGTGAGACCATGGTAAAAGTTCCTCATCTCAGCCTTGTTGTGGATTGAGGTCGTATTTTTGAAAGCATTGATAAATTATTATTATTAAGTGAGGGGAGAGCCTGCACCAGTGAGAGGCTCTGAGGAGCCAAACTGGGATTTCTTTTGAGATAGAAGAGAGATTTCTTTTGAGATATTCTCTGCATTGAGCTAGGCAGAGAAGCTGAAGGAACAGAGAGGACAAAAGGACGAAGAAAGACAGAATAGGAATAAAACACTCTAAAACCCTCTAAAGCACTGGTTTATCCTTGGAGGAGCTCTCAGTTCTCCTGGGGAGATGCCCATCACTCTGGTGCCCAGCACTGCTGCCCACTGCAGTGCTGGACCCTGGGATCACAGCAGAGCCTCTCCACATTTATTTTCCCCAGGAAAGCTCCTTGTAGGCACCCAGGGTTTTTCAGCTCCTCCTGTCACCTTCAGGACAGAGCTGGAATTCTGTTTAGTAGAAGTGGCTTGCTGCTGGTCCCTGGAAAGACAGGTGGTTGTAAAGAATTGTCTTTAAATGTTTAGGGAAAATTAAAAGAAGAAGAGTAAGGTTAGAAAGAGTTTTTTGGCTGCCTCACATTTACTGTTGTCCTTTGAACAGCGCATCCAAGTGATGATTCAGCCAAGTGAAGACATCACCCACCCTGAGAACGGGCCAGACCAGGCCCAACAGAGCAACTCTGCCAACAAAGAAGCCTACATCTAAACTCCTCTCTCGTCCAAGTACCGCTCCTCCTCCAGAAAAACAAAAAATATGGTTGAATATGACCACAAATTCACATCTGAGAATATAATTACCTACCTCTAGTGGCAAAAAAAAAAAAAAAATACATATTAAAAAAAAAAAAGAGGAAAAAAAAAAGCAACAAGGTCATCTCCACTCCGAGGGAATCGCCATGGGTTCGATCCAGCCGCCGCGAGCTCAGATGTTTGACAGTGTTTTTGTGTTCTCCAGCAATCCACAGACTGTTAATGTTTTTATCCTTTCACAATGATAGTTGCATACCTTGGAATTTGTAAATTGATGTGCCAAGACCTTTTTAATCTACCTTTTAGCACGACTATTTGAAGTTTTGTGCTGCTGATTTTTAGTAGTTGATCACTATTTCTTACCGCTGAATCCCAAGACTGTTATTTCTGACTTTGCAGGGGTAAAATTAAGTTTGGAGTTGTTTTGTACAAAAAGAGAACGGAGTATTTTGTAAACAAGTGATTTCCAGTGCAAAAGTCTGCCCTTGAAATTTGTTCCAGCTGAGGCCATTTGAGGGGGGAAGAGACTCTTCCTTCAATTAACAGCAGGCACAGCCTTTATAAACATTCCTAGTGCAAAAATTGAGTTGTTTGTGGCAGAGCAGCCCAGGCCAAACACGCTGGCTGTGCTCAGCCTTTCAGGGTGACTTTCAAGCAAGGTCATAAATTTCCTTAAAAGCACATATCTTGCTTCTTATAAAAAGAAGATATCTGCGTTAGAATCAATGTTAGAGGCATAAATATGACTTTTAACTTTTTTAGCAAAGCAATAGCCGAGAGCTCTTAGAGATTCCCAGGAGTAAAATACAAAGTATTTGCCATTCAAGCTCAGACTCCCTGAGCTTTTATCATGCTGTTATCACTCTACTATTGCATTGCCACCGAAATAGAAACCAAACCAAGATCAAAGTGAGTTCCAACGTAGGGCTTGATTGAACCTGCCCGAGAACTCCCCCAGCTCCCACCCCAAACCCCAGCACCTTGAGAGCAGTGGGATTTCCATTTCCAGGGGCTGGGTGGTGCTGAGGGCACGAGGGAGAGCTCTTCGATCCCCTGCAATCTCACTCTGGGCTCCAGCCAGCCCCTGGAAGTTCTCCCCGTGTGGGGAATGCAGCGGGAGCCCCGCTCGGCATTTCTCGTTTGGCAGCTATAAGATAAGACAGTCACGGAGGCTTTTTGTTTTTTTGGTTTTTTTTTTTTTTTTGGGAGGGTGATGTTTGATTGTAAATGACTGTGACAGAACTGTGCAATGAAAAACTTGCTTTTCAGCAAACTCTTTTTGTGCACCGTACGATGTTAGATAGCACAATTTATGTAGAACTACTACGTGGAAAAAAAAAAAAAAAAAAAACGTTACCTGTGAATGTTGGGTTTTTCGTTGTTCTCGTCTGAAGGTGACAAACATGTTCTTGCAATAAGGTATTATTCTCAGAATGTCAAGCACATTATGTAGAAATAATATATATATATAATACACATGTATTTCAAACAACATTCTAAACTCTCAGAGTATGTTGGGTAGGTTCTAAACTGTTTCATACCTAGGTCAAATGTAAAATACTACGAGATCTAAGCTCCATCCTAAACGGCCATAGCTGAGATGCAAACGTCCTGTAAGTCTTTGGGATTTAGAGGAACCCCTACATCCTACACAGACATCACACGTGATACATCATACTTGTGAATTTCATTAGACTAAGGGTAAAAACTCCGACTTTCTCTTTATTGTTTAATGTAATCGAGTCCCATGTTGTTCTAAGAAAAATGCAGTATTTAATGTTTGATTGTAAACAATTATGACAGATGTTTGACAGACCTGCTCTTTAGCAAAAAGCTGTACAAATGTTATCACATAGCACAAACTAGTGTTGTAGAACTACTGTGTGTAAACTGTGAATAGCTGTATCTTTTTTGTAGTACTTGCCCTGAAAAAGAAAGATTATTGTATGATCATATATGCTTTTTGCAATAAGGAAATATCCAACACCAAGCAAATCTATCTCTATATAAAAATATATATGTAATATATACATATTCAAAAATATATACAGAGCCTGTTTAAAAGAGTACAGTATTATTTAGTAAATTGCAACCTGTTCTATGGACCAAATGTAAAATATTTATAAATTAAGATGCATTTTAAATGTCTATAAACAGTGTCATAATTAAAGCACGATTGTTATGTAAGTTTCCAAGAGTTTAGAGGAAAAAGAATAAAGGTTATATTATACATTAAATCCAGAATTTTGCAGTCTTTCATTGGGCAAACCCAATCTGTGCTATTTTCCAGTTCCAAATGTGTCATTTATATAAAAATATCCTTTAAATACCAAAACGCTGTATCCCACTTGTGGTGTGTATAATTAATCCATGCTATTCCTACAATGTAATTAGTATGTGCATACATTATACAGGGAGCTTAAGAGGTGACAGTTAATAGCCCTTCCTGGCATCCTGCTGCTTTCATTCTCCTGCGGGAAGGAAGATGGCAGAGCGAGCTCCAAGAAAAGGAAAAAAACGGATTTGGGAATGTTTCGGACGGTTCCTCGGGTGCACTGCTGTGAGCTGCAGCACCTCCCTAGTTTTGGAGCCATCCCAGTGCTGGATGCTCCCCAGGCAGATGATCCATGGCTCCCAAAGCTCCGTGCTCCTGCCTCAGCTGCACTGGCGGGGTGGGAAGACGAGGAGAAGACACGGAGGAGAAGAAATTGCAGCACGGCTGCACCACCGCTCCTGGGCTCGGGATTTAATTATCTGCCTGCAAAACTGGAGCAGGGCTCCATGCTGGGGAAGAGCCTGAGCAATTAGAGGACCTGATTAGAATGGAAAAGGCTCCCCAGCGAGGCGTCTGGAATCACAGCCTCCAAGCACCGAGCGCTGACCTTCGCGAGGAGCGCACGGCGAGGGCGCGGCCGGGAGGGGAGGTCCCAGACTGTTCTGGAAAAGGGGAGGCAGCAGTTTTGGGAATGCAGAGGGGAATAGGAAAGGAAAGGCCATGGGCTGTCACTGCTGGCTGTGGGTGGTGGGAGGGCAGGAGGGCAGCAGGGGCTGAGGCGCAGGAAGCTACTTGGAGGATATTGCGTAAGCGCTGTGATATTTCCATGCTCTCCTGGAGGAATTTGCTCTCGCCGTGCTGCAGAAATCCCAACAGCAATTCAACAAGAAAAATGCAAATAAGGTCACTTCTCCCCTCCAGGACTGCAGGATGCCCTGGGAGAAATCCATGTCCTTGCTCATCAGGAGTATTAGTTCAGCTACATGTGCTTTTATTCTAAAATAACACTGTGTTGCTTTTGGGGGTTTTTTGTTTGTTTTAAGCCTGATTATTTCTGTTTTGTCCTGCTCAGGCCACGACAGCATTACAATTAACTGTTAGAACTGCTCAGCCCGCAGTGCTGGCTGGTTCTCGGGGGCTGGAACCCAAAGGCAGGGTGATGCCATGGCACAGGGCAGCAGCTCCTGCTGCCAGCACCCCTCTGCGGGCACTGCCCAGCAGGCAGCAGCAAAAAGGGGCTGCACTCAAGCACTTGGACATCCACCTCTTGATCCCTTTCCCTCCAGGATGGATTGGCTCCACTCCCAGGAAGAGGAGCCAGGGGGATGTTGCACAGCACGGACAGACACCCACGGACAGACACGCAGCAACACCAAATCCTCACTCCCAGCACCTGAAGGGATCAGCTCAGAGCTGCAGCAGCTGCCAGCCCCTGTTTGCCTCTGCAAGAGCACCACAATTACCACTTTCACTGCTCAGGAAGGAAGGCACCAGCCTTTACATCCCAAAGGCTCTTTCCACTCCCCCCTCACTCTCCTTTCCCAGTTTCTTGCCCTGCTGGGGGTGTTTAAATAAACCAAATTAAAATAAGATGGGAGGACAGGATTTACCCATATACAATTTTTCTTCTGCAATTTAAATTACTTCCTCTCTTCTTCCTCTGAAGTCAAAAAAATAAAACAAATTTTAAAAAATATTAAAGAACAAATGGGGTAAAGTGAAACAAAATATTCATCCCTCCACAGAGCTTGGTATCTCAAGAAGCTTGTCCAAGTATTTCCACTTCTTATTCCTGCCTTTACAGTTTGGGGCCAGTCAATAATTACATCACTCTTTCCTGCTCACACTTGATGGAGAATGGGCAAATTTCCTCTGTTTTCACAAAAATCCCATTAACTTTTAGCGTTGCATCATTGTGGTTTGTTCCTCCTTCTGACCACACACTACACCGGTGCTGTCATTCAGGATTTGTCATTATTTTTTAAATGTATGGATTGGTGAGAGAGAATTTTTAGCCTATTTAGAAGAGCCTGGAGTGCCAGGACACAGGGAATGGCTTCACACTGGCAAAGGGCAGGCTTAGGTGGATTTTAGGAAAGAATTCCAGCCCTGGCACAGGTGCACATGGAAGCTGTGACTGCCCTTGGATGCCTGGGAGTGTCCTAGGCCAGGCTGGGGCTTGGACAGTGGAAGGTGTCCCTGCCCATGGGATGATCTTTAAGGTCCTTTCCAACCCAAACCATGCTGTGATTCCACAGCTCCATGATTTTGCAGCTTCACATCTGATCACTTTTCCCCCCAGGTTTGCGAACGGTCTCACATCCAGCTCAGTGGCAAATCCTGAGTGATTATTTTGGAGTCTCAAGCAGGCTGAAGTAATCCTGTGAGTTATTTGTGAGTCATAAGTACATGCTGGTGCTAAATGTGTCCAACAGTGCCTAAGAGAAGGACAGGATGGATCAGGCATTGTCACCAGGACAAAAATTAATGTGTTTTGCCAGCAATGGTGCTTTAGTCAGGCTGCAAGAGTTGCTTGCTGTGCCTTTGGGGATCAGCAGCTGAGAGGTGGCTGCAAACAACGTATCAGAGGGTAAAAAATAGCCAAAATGTTAATGTTCAATTGGAGGGAGTCTGGAGTTTCCCCTGCATTTAACCCACTTAGTGCTGGAAGGGGAATTGATGGAACAGAACAAGTCGCTGCCTCATTCCCTTACATTGTGCACTTCTTTTCCTTATAATTATTCTAAAGCAACCTGGGAATGTCTGAAAATGTTTGACATACAAAAAGAAGCCTTGGAGGCTTGGTTTAGTCTAGGAAAAGGTTTTCCATGCCCCACTGGCACTGTCATTTACTTGTGCAGACACAGAGCTGCCTTCGCATCCCAGCGCTCCCCGTGCTGTGCCTTTGGGGACCAGCAGCTGAGAGGTGGCTGCAAACAAAGTATCAGAGAGTTGAAAACAGCCAAAATGTTCATTTTCAATTGGAGGGAGTCTGGAGTTTCCCCTGCACTTCACCAAACTGGAAACTTAGTGCTGGAAGGGGAATAAAACAGAATGGAACAAGTCGCTGCCTTATTCCCTTACATTGTGCACTTCTTTTCCTTATAATTATTCTAAAGACACCTGGGAATGTCTGGAAATGTTTGACATAAAAAAGAAGCCTTAGAGGCTCTGTTTATTCTAGGAAAAGATTTTCCAGGCCCCACTGGCACTGTCATTTACTGGCCACACCTTGTGCAGACACAGAGCCGCCGTTGCATCCCCGTGGATGGAAAGGCACCAAAACTGAACCACAGCTCCTGCAGGGCAGTGACCCTGCTAAAACCCCAACCAGACCCCACAAACAGCAGCTGCCCCAGCCCTGGCTGTGCCTGAGGAGCTGCTGATCCCAAAACCATGGACATATTCCCAAAAACCAGCTGCAGTTCCTGCTGCCCTGGGCAGGTCCCAGAGGGCTCCTCCAAAGCTCCACGGGCAAAATCTCTGTCCCAGCACACTCTCCATCCACTGAACATCACCTGGTGGATGGAAAGCTGTTTGGTCCGGCAGGAACGGCACCAGCTCCCCTGGGATGGCTGAGGAGTGCTTTGGTGAGGGGTAAAATAAAAAATCTCCCCGTGAATGTGAGCCAGAGCGTCAGGTTGTGTTAGGGAATTATTTCTAGGTCATTTCAGTTCACTGCGCTGCACTGCAAACTCTGCACTGAATGAATGACCAAAATAATTAATCAAAACACTGGGGAGAAACACCAAGTCACACTGCAGGCAACAAACTCTGCCTAAAAGTGACAGAGCTCAGCGCTTTTTAACCTGCTCCCTCCCAGCTGTCACACAGCAGCAGCTCATGACCTTTCCTGCTGATTTTCCCCAGATCCAGCCTCACTCTGAGGGGCTCAGGGTGACCTTTCCCAGCCTGGTTCCTCCTGTTTTGAGCACCCTGTGTCGTGGCAGAACTTGCCTGTCAGGATCTGCTTCAAACCTACCAATTTAGACTTGGGTGTGCATTAAAAACTGTGGGAATCCACAAAATCAGAGGGTTTTGGGAAAGCTGCAAAAGGCAGGCCTCAGAAACTGAAGAACTGTGATTAGAGCTAAGCAGCAACCATGAGATAGGTCAGCAGAAAAATTATTTAAACAGCAGGAAAGCAAAGACAAATAGAACAATGGGTTGTGCTGAAAAGTTTATCTAGTGAAATATTAGGAAGTTCTAAGCATAATAATGGAGCTCTGTGCATTGTGTTTTCAGACTTACAAGCAGGTATTGTATTTGAAATAAGCAGGCATTGTTTTAACCAAAGGTACGTGTGCTTATGGTGGTTGGATGGAACTACTGTCAATGTGCTTTTGCCTTGTGTGATTGGTCAAAAACCTTTTAAAGTGAGTTGTAACATTAAGTTCTTGGTCTGTTGCCTGGGATGCGAGCTGGTGGCATCTTCCCATTGTCATACCCATGGAATGAGGCTGATGCTGGAAAATAAAACAGCTCAAGGCACATTCCTAGCAGTCCTGTCCCGTTCATGATTTTACATAGCCCCTGGCCAGTGATAAAAACCCTTGTGCCTCACTCCTGCCGTGGTGCTGAGGGAAATGAGTTCCAGCCCACATCCCCCTGCAGCCACATCACAGGACTTGCTGTCATTACTTGCTCTCTTTACACACTATTTTATGGGGCTGCTGTGGGGTTTTGAGGGGGAAAAAATATGTAGATTTGGATGTCTGCAAATAAATAATAAAATGCCAGCTTAAAAGCAAATGGCACAATAAAACAAGTCTGGAGAACATCAAGGAACCAACCCACTGCCTTTTGCTGGTGGAGAAGGGGAATTTTGCTCAGCTCCATCACTCAAAGCCATTCAAGTGTCAGCAAGGAACATTGTGTGTGTCACTTTTAAGCTTCTCACTTTCACAGAAAACTTGCTCAAAAATGCTCAGAGAAGTTTTTTTCTTTGTTCTTTACATGCTC